ATGGAATTTAAGTACTATTGAAATGCATGCTCTAATGATTCTGAATATATGGTATATAGTAGTTCATGTGCCTTTATCTATCCAGGTATGGCATTACTGGTGATATTAAGTCACAGAATAGTAAGCTACATTACATATTGGTGATGTTTTAAAATGCCTCTGGGCCATCCAGTCTCACTCCTTTTCACTTACATTCAAAGAATGTCATTGCCCTTTTCAAATTACCTCCAAATGACAAAATGAGCTTCTTCAACATTAAAACCTTGTTCCCTGAATAATCTTTTCCATGTCAGGATTCACTTGATTCATCTCTCTTGGAGTTGATTAGGAATACTGTATTGACCCCTCCCCCCACCATCATTGTGCTTTGACTTCTGCTGGATCCACATGGATCTGAGATTTTTTTTTTTTTTAACTGCACTGGCTGTGATGGATTGACGCACATTGCCACCCTACTTTCCATCAGGCAATATTTAAGTGCTGTCACAAATGGCATTCGCTGGAAGAAAGAAGAATTTAGAGGCGTCTGCTGACATAGCATAGTGCTTTGGGACTCCGTCTTTTAGACTATAAGAATGTACACATTAATTTTAGTGTCTCTTTTGGGAAAGAGGGAGATATAGCAAGTAGAATATGGATATTGACAGTTCAAAATTCCCAAGAAGACCCAGATTGTGAGGTTAAATAAAAACTTCACACATAATTTTCTGAATCAGTTGTTCCGGTGCTTGGTAACACTAGCAAAAGAACCATAAGAAGAGCCTTGCCTGGTTCAAAACCGTGGTTCATCCAGTTCAGCATCCTTTTTCACAACAGTGGCTAAACAGTTGCCAGAGGTGGGGTGGCGACAAACAGGGCTTAGAGGCTAAGGTCTCTGAATATGGAGGCCTCCTTTACTTACCATGGCTTGTAGCCATTGATATCCTGAATCTGTCTTTTAAATCCATCTAGGGTTATGACCATCACTACCTCTGTTGGCAGTGAATTCCATAATTTAATTACTTATTGAGTAAATTATTGACTTTTTCTGACCTGTACCACTGGGTATCCCTGTGATCCAGTATTACGGGAAGAGAAATAAAAGCTTCCTCTATCCACTTTCTCCACTTCACACATAATTTTACAAACCTCTTTTATGTCTCCTCTAGTCTTCTTTTTTCTGTATTAAAAAGTCCAAGACTCTTCAGCCTTTCCTCGTAGGAAAGTTATTCCAGCCCCTTGATCATCTTGATTGCCATCTTCTGTACTTTTTCTAGGTCTGCAATATCCTGTTTTGAGATATGGCAACCACAACTGTACACAGTATTCCAACTGTTGGTGTGCTGTTTCTCTATACAATGGAATTTCAATATTTGCTGTTTTATTCTCAGTCCTCTCCCCGACATGGAGTTTCCCTGTTTTACTTCTGCTGCACACTGGGTCAACATTTTCATCAAGCTATCCACTATAAATCTAAGATTTGTTTCATTCTTGGGCTCAGCCAGTTCAGAACCCATCAGCATATATTTAAAGTATTTTTTGTTCCAGTGTGCGCCACCTTACACTTAAGAACACTGAATTTCATTTGACACATTATTAACCCTACTCACCCAATTGAGATAGAGCCTACTGTAGGTCTTCAAAATCCACTTTGGTTTTCATCATCCTGAATAATTTGGTATCATCTGCACTGCCACTGCACTGTTCACCCCCAATTCTAAGTCATCTGATTTACAAAGAGGACTTCCTTACTAACACGATGATTTGTGCATGGATCAGTGTAAGAAGTTGTTTGCAGCCTGGTCCTGTGTATGTTCATTCCTCTATTTTAGGAACTTTTGAATGAACTCACAGGATCAAGCTGTTAAGTCTGTTTAACCTGTCTGGAACTGTTAAAAGACAATTCATTTAGGATCCCGTTAGATAAGAACTAGCCCTCTTGAGCAAATTTCACAACTTAGGTTTGTAGGTAGATCCACCTCCAACTTAGTGTACCCCCTACACCTGTTAAGTGCCTTGAATGAGACCAGTTGCAGAGAGGGCAGGCAGCTGCCACCAGTTCCATTCATAAAAAATGTTATTTTGCCAAAAGTGCTATACAAATATCATACAATAATGGTTAAAAACATATTCTAACACTGGTTCTTCAGAGTTGCCAAAGTAACTAAGTGTGTACTCATTACATATTTTTGAAGGAAGTTCATAATCTTGATCTTAGTTGGGAATAGAGGTGTGCATTCAGTTTATCCAAGCTGAGACAACCCCCTCCCCCAAATACCTTACCATTATTTTTTTTCAGCCAGATATCAGCCAGGGTATTTATCCAGCTATCTGATATGACCAAGTGCAAAAAATCCCCAAAAATATTCAGGATTTTTTGGGGCCACCAGATAGCTGGTGTTAAAGGGTGTTTAAAGGGATTGCAGTCCCTTTACATACTTTCTGGGTGAAGCCATGGCTCAGAGAAGAGAAGACATTTAAAGGGACTGTGAGCCCTTTAAATGCCTTTTTCCCTCCATTGGAAACAAATGTAGGATGGGCGCCTTCTTCTGGGGCCCATAGAATTGGACCCCTGCTCTTTTTGAAATGGGGGGGGGGCTGTGGAGAGGCACTGGCAGCTATGCTTCAAATTTGCTGTCTCTGTCTCAAAAAACAGCCCCCACAGAGCCCCAGATACCTCCATATCAATTCTCCATTATACCTTTTGGCAGGGGTGGACAAACTTGCTTAACATAAGAGCCACATAGAATAAATGTCAGATGTTTGAGATCCTCAAGACATGGACAAATATCACCAGCTGGCTTGGCTTGGAGAAGGGAGTTAAAGAGACAAATGCCTTCCCCAAGCCTGGTGTGTGTGTGGGGGGTGGCTTTGAGACTGAGAACACATTTAGAGTTAAAGTTGCTTTCTTTCTCTGCTCCGTCCACCACCACCTCAAGCCTACCCAGGGAGAGGAACACTGGCTGGGAAAGAGAAGACCAATCAGGGAGGCATGCCTCCCCTTTGCTTTCTCAGCTGCCATGCCAGGAGCTGCATAATATGTGTGAAAGAGCCGCATGTAGCTCCTGAGCTGCAGTTTGGCCACACCTGCCCTATGGGAACCATTGACTATAATGTTCCCCATAGGTTATAATGGAGCCAAAAATAAAATGGCAATCCCGAATATTTACTGAATCCAAATACCATCCAAATACCATACCGGTATTGGGATTCGGTAATATCGGAAAATGCCAATACTTTTTTGGTTCAATATATCCAACCCCAAAAAATACCGGGTTGTTTTTGTTTGCACACCCCTAGTTGGGAGCCTCCACTCTTATTGCTTGAGGAAATAGAAAGGTGTTGTATAATGTCTGGAAACTATTCAAGATAGTGCTTTGGCAGAGATCAAGAGAAACCGAGATGTCATTGATTACTTCTTTTGTTTTGTACTTAGCGTATGGGGAATCTAGTGGAGAGACTGGTCTCAGTATTCTGGAGAACAGATGAAATAAGGCAGAAATAGCAATGACTGTGAGTGTGTCTTGAAACCACATGGATTTTTAAATGTGAAGCTCTGTGCTTTGGATGTAAGATTCTCTAGTCCTAGGTTATGTTAGCGGTCATCAGGGGAAACAGATGCTACCAAAAATGGTCCTTTTGTTGTTGAGTGAACAGCACTCCATTTGCAATATATAGAACTACTTACAATGCACAGTCTTCCCCCTCTCATCCCCTTTCTGATGCCATTAGCAAATATTGTATTTGGTAGGGATCACTTTCTATAGAAAGGCAGATTTGGGCAATATCCCTGTGACAGTTGTAATATGTCCTGCTCCTAAAACATTCTTAGCCTAGGCTTTGGCCATTACTGCATAAGACAGTACCAACAACTTTTTGGTTAAGTGATGGTCATGTTTCACCTGCTGGTTTCATTTGCTTTCACTGTAATTTGAAAGGAGATTGTAAAAAGTTAAATGATTGCTGTGGTGGGCTTGCTTACAGGGGAGACTGTTTTTCCTTTAAACCACCCTCTCTGTATATAAACGCATTAGTTTTCTGCTGCCACCAGGAACTAAAAATTCCAATTCTCTCTCTTTTGGTAATATGACCCAGGGTCTGGGCACTTCAGAGGACTATGTGGCCCTGAGGAAGGACTGTACTGATTTCTGGGATATGTTCAAACAAAAATTGATTTATTGAATAAAGAACAAAATAGGCTTCTGGTTTTCTTGAACTGTTTCTGGAAAAAGGAACTTGTAAATATAACTGGAAAGGTGTCATACATGGTCTCTCAGACACCAAAATTCCACGCTGACAGGCTTCTCTTTCTCATATATGTAGTCACACTGACTAAGCTCTTTGTCTTAGGCACACAAGAGAAAACATTTGTCTAACCACACAGTTTAGACACTACTTGTTTCTTTGTCATATAGACTCTCTCACAAAACAATTAGTCACACGGACCCTCTTGATAGCTTTTCCACACTTCACTTTCCAAAGACCCGTACACAGAACTCTCTGTCATAAAAACACACACTCAGATTCCTCTCAGAACATCCCTCCTCCCACACTCTCAGTCATCAGCCAATCACAGCACACCCATTTCCCCCTGTCACTCTTCTTACAGTACTGCAGTCAAATACAACTTTTAAAGACACACACACACACCAAAACATGGAATCATTACAATTGCAAATTGCAATTTTATACTTTATGAATTGGCTAGGACTAGGCATTATGGCAACTGATACCATTAGCTGTTTCTCCTCCTTCTCCTCCTTTTAATCTAGTAGCATTTAGAAATACAAAACGTATGGCATTAAATCACTGTATTGTGAGTTCTCCCATTCCCTCTATACTTCATTAGGTGCTGTTTATGGAGTTGGGAAACATACAGTGCAATGATGTCCTATCATATACTTTGTATGCATATGTTTTACTGGAGGAGGGATGAAAAAGATGCAGGAATG